TGCTGTGTTATGTTATGTTGCGCTGGGTTATATGTGAGTGCACATGAACTTTGCACACCCCACTCCACGTGTGTTGAACTCGCTTAGATTGATCTTTTCTCGGGTCCCAGCACCTCATCTTCAGTGGCGGTGGGTGGACCAAAATTTGGGTGGGGCTTAGGTTGCTACCAGTGGTGCCCTCCATCCATCCACGATATATTATACTAGTTAGACCATCATGATAGTGTTGGTAGCGCAACAGCAAGCGTCAGTAGTGTTGCTAAAACATGCAGGTGAATGTGTTCGTTATTTATTTGTAAATGTTTACAGTCCCATCGACAGACTTTACGCCACTTCGAAAGCGGATTGCTTCAACCCTGCCTGAGACTGAGAGGAATACAACGTCCAAGCAGAAAGACCGAGATACTTGATAAGTATCTTCCACAAACACACATGGGAATTGAACCTACGTCTTTATGAGAGATCTGTCCCCGTGGTTTTATGCACACAAAAAAATCTGAAATTATGGAAACTCAGCCCCAATATGTGAAATTATGCCATTCTGTTAATTTTAACAAAGAGTGATAAAGGAAAATAATCATAAATAATGCAAAAAATGTTCACATTTTGCTAAATTATGCGGGGTGTACAAAACCACGAGGACAGAGAGATGGTCAAGTGTCTAATCACTACACCACAAACGCCAGTCTTGTGAGTGAGGAGGAGTCCATGCAATCCACAAGTCTAAATTTTGATAATTTTCTAAGTGATATCATTACACTCTCCCACAGCTCTATCAAAGATCAAAGATGCATCTTTCAGCATATTATAGTAACCTCAGTGCTTTCTTGTCGTATCTCCATTTTTAAATAAAAATGAAGACAATTCATAACAAAGAGCGAGCTTAAAAAGAAGTCACATTTTCACCCTCTAAAAAACTGGAGATACAACAAGAAAGCACTGAAGTCGCGATATATATAACCAAAATTCAGTTTAATGCTAAGGTGAAGGTCTTACTTTTCACGATTCCTGACAGGCACAACACAGTGCGCTAATATACTTCCTTATGCAGTTCTGAGGGCCGTACAAATCTTACTTTATAAAAGGCACAATTGGCACCACACAACAAAAACATTTTTTTTGGTCTCTGGTGTAAAAAAAAGTAGCTTACCCGCACAGACTTACGTGGATTGTTTGCGACACCAACGACATGCAGACTCGTGGGCCTTGTGAGTCCTTGAAGCAACTATTGGTTGAGCCACCTCTTCATAGACATCACCTCTACTAACAGCCCTTGTTCCCTGACATAACTATTTACTGTGGTTTTCCTGCATGTTTAGGTCTGATTTGCCCTTAGCGGTCCTTGTCCAACCCGGCTATGGTCATACCTTTCTGCGACAGGGCAGCCTCAAACATTGTATTACAGCGGTCACTTGCTCGAAAACTTTTCAGCAAACCTGTTGTTTTAAAAGTTTATATATATATATATATGTTCTTGTTTAATTTTTAAGCCCCCATCGACGTACGTTAGTAGGAGGAACGCTTCTGATACTGCCTGTTGAGGCCAGCCCAGGCTCAGGGCTAAGCGGAAAGGCTTAAATACTGGATGAAAATTCTCCCCACTCGGGAATAGAACTCGGGTCTTTAATGTACGACAACCAATGCACCTAACGACTACACCACAGAAGCTGGTAACTCATGTGTATTCAATTTATGCAAAGGTTTTATGATAAAAAAACAATTCTGATGAAAATGAAGTGGAAAGACAAAACCAGTATTTCAGATTTTAACCCATCTGTTGACATTGTCAATTTTAGTAAGTGACCATAACTCAGACCCCATCCATTAAGCGCTTGTATACAGTAGTGGCATCCAAAAGAAACTTGAAAATGATATCACCCAATTATCATGTTAAAGCCTTGCACTACCCACTCATGCAGCAAACCAATTTAAAGCTAAAAATAATTCGGTATCCTCTGACAAATCATTATTTCATCTTTGATAAGAGACGCCCGAGAAATGGTCACTCAAAATTGATCTTTAAAAATCAGGCTCTGCAAAATTGTGCAAAATCAAAGAAACGTAAAAGTGTCTTCGAGCATGTATTGAGGTGCATCAACTTTGGTGGAATAGACATGTATAGATATGTACATATCAAATGAAAAGAAAATATTGTTGTCTGTGCAATAAAGAGCGTCTTCTAATGATATTTTCAAACATTGGAAAACAAAGCAGTCACAAATAGCACGCAAAGCCTGGACATGTGCTCATTAATGCAATTTTGCTTTTGTTTAGGAGTTATTGGTTTCGTGGAGAGCATGAAACCTTTTTTGCTCACGGACCTTGATAGCTAAATTGTGGACATAATCATCTGTCAGTGAGGAAGAGAGGCCATGAAACTGCCATAGTTTCGGGTGGTCTGGGGTGGAATGAACAAAAACTCTCTCGGGAGAATCACCGGAAGGCTTGGTTTAATGGACATCGCACAAGTACTGGAACATCATGTCTTACCCTTATTTCGTCATGGCGTCATTCAAGTTGACATCACTATAACATGTGAAAGCACTTTCTCAAAGGGCCAATGCCACAACACATTTCTTGGAAAACCAGATTATATCAAAATTGGAGTGGTCATCAGTAAATAGCACGAATATAATGAATCCTGCAGGTATGTGAAGCCCCATGAAACAGCAGGTGGAGAAAGGCGACTTTGCTCCCAATTCAGACCCTTTGTTAGCAACTCACTGTGACAATTAGGATGAAATGATAGATAATTATGTCCAAAATTTAATAGAGTCGATGCCCAAAGGGTTCGTGCTCTACACAAACCACTGACTCCTAAGCAAAACAACAATGAGCACAGTTAATGTTAAGTCCAAGTTTTAAGTAGAATTTATGATTGCTCTGTTTTCCATTTTATTCGAAACTAAAGTAGAATCTAGTAATAAAATATTGTTAATGGCAGAGACAAAATTCTCCATTCATTAGATACGCAATGTATGCCCATTCAATCGATATCGATGATCCTCAATACACACACGAAGGCAATTTTATGCTTTTTTGGATTCCGCACTATTTTGACAAGCCTGATTTTTTAAGGTCAATTTTGAGAGACCATGTCTCTGGCATCTCTTATCAAAGATGAGATATTGAAGTCTCAGATGATGCAGAATTTATTTAGCTTTAAATTGGTATGCTGTATGAGTGGGTAGTTCAAGGCTTTAACACGATGACTGGGTGATTGCATTTTCAAGTTTCTTTTGGATGCCACTATATAGCGGTCATATTTCTCTGTGACCATGATGACCATTCCGGACAGGTTCGACTGTAACCACAAGTTCTTCATCTTAAATGACACAAACCAAATGATCACAACCAATTTTCATCAATGACAAAAAAGAGCTCTTTATTAATGAAGAAAACAAGTCTGGTTTGTGAAGTATAATGAAAAAGCGACATTCTGAGCACAGCAAAATCAAGTTGAGGTCTCCATCCAGAGCCTGACATACTACACATCTGGGGCCTCCACTATCTGTGGGGCCAACAGGGAAGCAGTCATGACATCAAACATGAAGGACAATTTTCACATATTTTTAGAAAAATTACAACATGATGTTTACCATGAAAACAAACTATTGCACACATAGTGAACCATACATTTTTGCAAAATCACAATAGAAAATAAATTGTTTGAACTTAATAACTATGGAAGGCAAACCTAAGAGTTCCACTCCCCCCACCCCCCCCAAAAAAGTCCCTTTTAACATACACAAAGCAGATGTACTTTGTAAGTACATGTAAGAAAAAACAGGGGAAACTATATAAAAGGTATCATATTTTCTTGTATATATATTTAATGGCTTTCCCAAAAATTTGGATGGAAATGTGTCGTTAAATGTGAAATGTTTCAAAAGACATCTAATGAGCAAACAATGATCACTTGCACAAAACTTTTGCAATAAAAAAAATAATAAATAAAAAAAGAAATAAAACTCTTATCACCCCCATACACCAAACTTCAATAAAATTTGCATTATAATTTTGTACTCCAGCTAGCAGGGTAACATGGTGTAATTTGATTATTATCTACTCGATAAGCTACAAGATACATTCTGATGCCGAACAATACTTTTCTGTTAACGCAGTCAAAAGGTGTACATGCAGTGAGTCAACACAAACAGCAACCAATAATGTTCTAACCACAGAAGTATTCTTCCCATGAAACATCTTACACACACGGAGCCTGTTCTTTCACAAGCAGTGTCTGGAATGTGAGCAAATCCTCACTTTTTCTTTGTAACATTTACAAGCACACGTTTCTCTCCCTCACTTTCTGTTCTTCTTCCCCCCCCCC